GAAACAATATGTATAAGGATATTGCCCCTGAAAGTATCTGATTGTGTCTGGTCAGCTGGCTAGGGCTTTCTCTGGCTTGTTGGAAAAATATTTATTTTCCTTGTCCTAACTCCCAGGTGCTACTGCTGAGCAAATGGGAACATCACTGCCAGAAGTATTTGAAAAGAACAAAAAAAATTGATTTGGACAATCTATGCGCTCCTGTCATTGACAGAGACACGAGTGCGACCAGGGGTATGACTAGGGTCAGAGCAAGGTTAAAAGAAAAGCACCCAGGAATTCTCTCTTGTCATCAGCTTTTCAATCTAACTACTCTTGGTTAGCTGCAGGCAATATATAAGTTTTCATCAAATACCAAGAGACGTTTCATAGTATTTACAAGTTGCACTTAAAATTTTCCCAAGAGGTGGCTACCTTTGCAATAGCAAAACACTTAAAATGTGAAGTTCAGGTGGTTAGCACATCTATGACATATGAGGATTTCCTGACAACATGGAAATTATAAGCTTATTCATTAGCAACAATCGCGTGAGTTGTATGTGAAACCAGGTAAAAATACTCCTCCTCCTAAGATAACTATTTTAAGGCTGATATTGATTCTGTTATTTTTAAAAGAAATAATTTATTCTTACCAAACAAATATTATCAAGAGATCAATTACTATCACAAAAGAAAGGCTATCTAGGTTTTTTTTAAAAGATTGCAGCAAACAATGCAGAAAACCATTAAAATAAAGAAGTATGTGGTGCAAAAATGAAAGTCACTGAATAAATTGTGTCCATTCTCTGGCAGAACGCTAAACTATAAACAAATCAATTTAAACATTTGTTAAGGGATATAAGCAGATTCAGAGCAGCAATACTGTCTATGGGATTCAAGGACCAATACTGCTACACAAGACTTTAAATAATTTTCCTTAATATGAGAAATAGAATTCTTCCTAAAATTTCCTTTAAACTTGATCTCTTGCACACATAAGTTCAAGATTTCAAAGTTTTTTTATTATCAATATTTAGCTATAAACGCAGCTGTGAGGATACTCATGAGCTAGGAGAGTATCCCTGAAGAACTAAATATTAAAAAAATTAGTCCTGGAGTAGGATCCAGAGGGGAAAAGATTAAATAAGTGCTAAAGAGACAAGTGTACATGCATTAAGAAAGATGTTATGTAACACCTGAGAAATTTTTAAAACCTGCTGATAGCCTTAATTTTTCAACCTTTGGCAAAATATATTATAAAAACAAATTCTTGTCTCTGTGCATAATATAATCAAGGCATAAAAAATAAGGAAAAGTTAAGCAATGACAGTATGTCAGGCATTAATGAAAACAGTTCAAAACAGTAAGTTTAAAGACATCTAATTCAACCAGCAATGCTATCCAAGTTCTCCAATGCAGATTTTGAAGAGAGCAGATTTCTTTTTGTGTTTTCACGTTTATGGTACACACTTCCTGTCTGCAGTTTTTAGAAGGTTACTGTGAGTCCTCTAAAGGTTTCCTTATCATTTACTATTATAAATAATTATGTTCCTAAGTGGCAGTTCAAAGCTCAGTACAGCACTCGTACAACACCACGGAAAGATCAGGTGACCTTTCTCCAATTCTCCTGTCTCTGGTGCTGAGGACAGACAAAGTGATATGTCTGTCATACGCCATTACCATTAGAACAGAATCTTGTTCTTTTATTACAACTGAACTCCGCCAGATTTCTCAGCAGGAATGCTAAGTGAAATCAATGTCTTGGATTTCCAGGCTGAGCTTGGAGGTCACAGCCACTCTATCATTTCTCAGCATTATCCTTTCTAGTGCACACACAACCCCCTCAAGCCTCCAACTGGCACACAGCAGATTGAAAACAGCATGCATCAGAGGACTCATGCTGTACAATTTTACAGTCTTTTGGAGCCCCTTCCCTTTGATTCCCCCCTTCCATTTTTTGCAAATTGCAAATAAGTTTTGTTTGTGTCCTTCTCTGGAGTTGTGAGTCAAAGGCAAATCTAGGAAGAAGGGCAGGCAAGAAAACCCAGAGAAAATGGTTGATTTTTGACAGCTGTCAATAAGATCATTTTCCTTACATCATCACCTAGATGTGGCTTATGATTCTATTCTTCTATTGAAAGTACAATAAAGGTACTTTCAACATAAATCATCAGTTTGGCTTATGCCAGGTAGGGAGGCAGATAACACAAAGCTAAATAAAATAATTCTATTGTATAGTAAGACAGACATGAAAATCCACCAATAAAACACACAGAAAATGCCCCCAGGACACTAAGAATTGATTGTTTCAAAAAAATATATATATATATATAATAATAAATGATAACAATTATATATAACTGAAATGGCTTTGTGAAGGCAAAATGTTTATTATACCATGTATAAATGTCAATTCCAGCCTCTAAGAAACTAAATTCATGTATTGAAATGGGACCTCTTTATTTATTGTTGCTTGTATTTTTTTAGCTATGTTCTTCATTAAAATGACAACAGTAATATTTATTGGTCTGGCTATTTTTAACCCACTAAACTTACTGCTGAGCTAAAACACCAAGCACATTTAAGACACCTTTTCTGACAATAAGAATGGTGGCAGACAGTATGCTAGAAGACAATGAGCATATAAAGGATGTATTTTTATTAAATCGTGGCTGTTTCTTAAAAAGGGGCACTTTATTCTGGGTTAAACTTTTTATGTAATTTATAATAACTGTAGGTGGGAAAAAATACAACATCCATGGTTTTCTTAAACTTTATATGATAGAAAATTCATGAAGGCTAATTTTCCAAAAGTGAAATTTAGCGATAAACTATAAATATATTTTTAAAATTAAGTATAATCATAGCTTATAGAAACACAATCCACTTTTTTACTGGTGCTAAATAAATGGAGGTGTTTAAAACCATAGAATACGGGAGAATTCTAACATTACTGAAATAATCAATCTCTGCATCCAGTCCGTGGAGTTCTCTGAATGTCTGGAACCATATAGCTCATAAAGCAGTGTCCTAATCTTGGCCAACTTTCAGTCACTTTTACATTTGCCATGGTTACCTAAGAAAGTATTGTAGCAAGTGCTCAATAAACATTTGAATGTATGAATGAATGCATGAACAAATAAACAGATGCATAAATGGATGAGGCTGACTGACATCAAAAGCTTCATGATTATTTGAGTTAAGTCATTTGGGGAGAAGATATTAACGATAAAAAGTAATTCTAGGAACCAGGAAAAACCCATTAGTCCTTTACAAGTGAACTATATACTATAAAATCATAAGATGAAACGTCCTAATGTAAAGCATCATTATAAAGCATGATGTGAAATCACATTAATAAGTCATGGGAAAAAACCCAGAACGATGCCTCACAGAGTTACTTGTGTGTGACAATGACTATGCTGCTACAGCTATTTATTTTTCTCAGTGTTAGCCTGTACATGTAATACATTGAAACTGCTGGTCCATGGAGACACCAAAACATCACTGCTTTAAAATGAAATTATATTTAATAAATGTTATAATTATTACCAAGTTTTAAAAACATATGTTCTGCTGTGATCATGAAGAAAAGCAGACCAGGCCTTAGGTATACATCAAGCACAGAACATGCAAGGTCCATTACACAGCAGAAAGAGCTCTTAAAAGTGGCTTATGCATGTTTCCTAATACAACAGTAGTAAGTACAATGTTTTGCACTATACATTTGCACATGTTGCTGGTGAGGTCTAAGGTCCTTGTCCAGGTTCAGTTACAATTCCAAACGTATTTATATCTTACTATATAAAAACAGACTTGGAGGTTTTGGGGAGATAGAGGCTGGAGGACACTTTCCCAATCCATCTCTTCTCTTTCCCAATTTCTACTCTGGATTAATACACTGACTGTGAAAAGCACCTGCCAGGGCACTACGGAAGGAGTAAAAAAATTCTTGGACTGTTTTTTTCTTTTGCAATACTTTCTAATTTTTTTATCTGTGTATTTTTTCAACCGTTGTGACTACTCTTAGCCTATTATTCTTTAGACATTTCAACATGAATTCATGAAACAAAGAGCAGAAGCAATTTTCTAGGTAATTCAGCAAAAGACAAAACAGTATTATTTTGGGGGTAAATTAACTGTTAACAGTTTTCTACTTAATATTTTCTAATTGTTAGATAATGTGTGATTATTTCCCTGATTAACGTCAGTAAAAATTATTTTATGGTTACTCTTTTTACTTTTTCCACAGAAAGTTTAATATATTCATATACTATCATCTAGGTAAGATCTTAAAAATCACAAAGAAATTCAAATTAATTTTTCTGCTTCTCTCTTCTTCTGAGCCAAGAAACAAATTACCTGAAACTCTCCTGATCCTTTTCTACATTCTCTCAGGAAATGTTTCCTTAGCTCTAAAAACAAAACTATTTCTAAACAGTCTTACTTTTAATACTAGTATTATCTTCCTATCTGTACACGATCATCTCATTGGCTGAATAATACATCGAAAATTATGTCTATACTATACCTCGTAATAATAGTTATTGATATTTATATAAAACATTTTCTGTATGCACTAATCATACTCATATATTAAGGTCTATTTCAGTTGCCCCTTCGGGAAACTTTTCCTAGATCTCTCACTGAAGGTAATAATCTCTTTGTCCTAATAACTTCCAATGCACTTTATCTGCAACTCCTTCTAAGACTTTGTATCGTAGAGGATGGGTATCTGTTTCATAAGACTGTAAAATTCTTGATGACAGCACACCTATCTTACAAATATTTGTGTCACTCACATTTCCTACTATAAATGCATGTTTGTTGAATAAATGAGTGACTAAATGTAGGTATGCAAATTTATAGGGACACCTTCCTTACTGATCCTACTAGACTATTATTTCCTTGGAGATCTAGAGTTTAGCTCAGTTGCTGGCACATAATAGATATTCAATAAATATCACTGAATGAAAAGTACACTCTAAATGTCAAAACATGTAGTTTCTTCAAAAGGGTACCTTGCTTTTGGGTGGTGGGCTGTTTGTGCTCTTGTCTGTGTGAATGCTGGTAGGAGATACAGCAGCACCAAGGTTGCCTTGGGGTATGCCTGGGAGCTTTCCTCCTGGAGATACCTGCATTGCAGCTAGCTGGGCAGCATATAACTGCTACAGAAGAGAGAGAGAGAGAGAGAGAGAGAGAGAGAGAGAGAGAGAGAGAAAATAAGGACTGAGTAATAAAATAAATGCACCTGTCAGAAAATACCTATAATAAGATGTGGTATTTTTCCAATTGGGTCTTTTTGTTTGTGCCCTGGAATATTTAAAGAAAGACACTGTCACCTCAACTGTCATGACTTACTTCTCAGGGGAGAAATGACAGATATGACACATAAGGAATTTTAGTTTCAGTATATACAGGGACTGAAAACAAGTAACAGTCATCCGTATTTACTCTTTGCCAACATCAGTGGAGGAAAAGTATATCATACTATATGGTTAATACCTTTATTTTAACCATTTAAAAATTTACACGGTGTGTTACAAAAGAATGAAGCTTCATACACCAAGTAACTTTCTTACTATCCATATGGGTTCAAGCCCTGTATATTTCCTTTATTTGACTTGCTGAAAAGGGCACCTGTAACATTTTTTTCTGATTATTAGCTGTGTAGAAATGCAAAAAAGCCACTGGGAGGGAATGGAAGGGGACTATTTGAAGAACATTATCGGGTCAGTCTACCTCAGTTGATAAAAGTTAACTGGATGCTTGCCAGAATGCCACTTTACTTCATGATATATAAACAAAGACAAACTTGAGATAATCTTGAGGATTAGGGTTTTAAGGAATACTATCTAAAGCACACACTCTTCGACTAAGCCATCACATAGTAATTCTTATTAAATAACCAATAAAAATTCTTCAACAAATCAATTTAATAATAAGGGAAAATTTTACTTGATGATGATGGTCGTATCATGTAGTATCTTAAAACATGGAGGTTGCTTTAGATTCAAATAGTCATATCAAATGTTTAGATTAATACGCTTTCATCTCCATTTAGCATTTTGTGAAAATCTGATTGAAGAAGCAATTATTTATATATACATATACAAATATTAATAAATAAATGTATAGATATACACACATATATATGTGTGTGTATATATATTTAAAATACAACCCAATTTCTTATTTCTCTTTTGTCTTAAGATTTCATGGATAGCATTTACTATGCAAGCTAGAACTTCCATAATAAAAAGACTGATGTTAAAGAAAAAGGCTCTCAAGGAAAAGTGCTGTGAAATAGTTCTCTGGATTATCTTGGTTTTTCTCTGAAAGGGAAATTTCAAAGGCTGAAACTGCTCAGGATAAGCCAGAGACTCTGATAAGTTGGGTCTCTCTATAAATGAAATAATGAAGACTGGCATTTATATACATGAAAATACATTTACATTTTTCAGAGTTTCTAGATGCTTTGTTCTAAATGAAAACAGGACATTAAAATTATTTAAAAAATTATAGCTTATTGTTTTATGTCAACTAATGCAAGATACATTCCAGACAAAAGAAACACCAGAGAAGTATATTTATACTATCAGTAATGACTGTCCCACCCCCAAAATTTTTTGGCGTGAATTAGAATTATGTTATTTCTTACCCCAGTCAATCAGAAAGAATAAGATTTAATTCATAAGTCTTTAACAGATTACATAAAAAGTAAAAGGATATGATGTCAAATATGATGAGTGGGAGTGTACCATTTTCAAAGTATCAGAAATGATGCATTTCCCACACTTGGGTTAAAAACCTGTGTCTTAAATTCTGCAATTCACAAAGTAATTTCTTCCATCATCATCCTGAACTGTTTATGAAGCCATTAAGAAAATAACCAATAACCCAGGATATCACTTTGCAAATTAAAACTTTTTCCAGTGTACTGAATTTTAAAATATATGTATTTTAAAATACTGGCTGGATAACTATATTACATATTGTAAATTTCACACTGTACTGTATATTATATCCTTGTCTTTAAAAATGATTCCAGTGCCTATTATTCCTAGAAGGTAACAACACATATTTCTGGTTTAGTATACACAAAATATAAAATTGTTCCATAATTACTAAAGATGACATGGGAAATTTTAACCTCTGTAGCTAAAAGGAAAAATGTGAACAAAATAGTTATTCAAAATTTGAATTTGATTATTAAAAAATTATTTCAAAATATTGAAAAAATATTGACTATTTGTATTAATTAGATAATTAAATAGATGGACCAGTCACTCATAAAAGGTAATTAAATGTTTAAACATAAATCACTATAGATTCACAACTTCCAAAGAAGTATTAGAACTACTATTAGAAACAGAAGTATAAATATGTTCCCAAACACTTTAATGAATTTAAAGGTAGGAAATGGTATATACTTGGAATTTTAAAAAATCATACATGTTCTTCCTTCATTCAAATAAATGCATTATTTTAACCTTTTAAATATGAAAATTAAGGTTTACCTCAGTTAAATTATCCTAAAAAATTCCTTTGAGTAGAAAAGAAGATAAATTTGGAAAATACATGGGCCCATTTACATACATATTTTTACTAGAACAGTATACTAATAACTGGTATTTTTACAAAACACAGAGAGTTAAAGTAATTAATGATGAAAAAGTCATAATCTTATTACTCATTCAGTATGGCTAACATTAAGTAGCACTTCAATCCCCCCAATCTCGCATATCCCCTTCCTCATATTTGGCTTTCTCTATGCAAAGAGTTGATATATAGACCAACTTTTCCCCAACTGTGTTTAACTTTCCACTATTTCCAGATCATTACATTTCCCACCACACATAGCTGATCTTCCTAGTTTGCCAAGGTTTGGAAGTAGGAAAGATCTATTTTCAATACATTTTAATTTGTGTCAAATATATGTGTTCCTTAAATTTACATTATATTACAGAAGCATAAAAAGGCCTCAAGTCTCAGAGAATCTAACATACTTTGGGTCTGTGCAAGTAAAATAAAGCAGAAATTTTAATACTGCTGGGACCTAATTTGGCCATTCACAAGTTAAAACAAATTTTCAGTAGATTTAAAGAAGCTGACAGTGGTTTTCATACCTGGTTATATATCAAGGGTAGGCACCTTAAAAACTAAATGCTGCTGAGACTTATTTTAATTCAACCTTTCAAAAAATTAAATCCATTTGTCTATCCATTAAGATGTGCATTGACTGATATTAAAACAAGAAAGTCTAGAGATGATTAGTATTTTATTTCATTTATTAAATGTTCTTAAAGCAGAATCAAGAATCATGTAGGTATCTGTACTGAGGGAGGTCTATAATCTCAGAATCACTGGCTGACCTTGGTGAGCGGGAAGGGGCATGAAATTTGTGGGAACTGGAAAGCCACCTGAAGTAACAAGCATCCTGTGAACTATAGAACTCATTTACATATTATGTACATATATAATTATAGTCACTTGCAATTATATATAAATAAAAATGTTTAAACAAAAACCTGGTTCACATTTTACTTTAAAGGATAGTAGAGAGGGTCTTCCCTGGTGGCGCA